TCTGCTGTTTGTAATCATTTTGTTATCTGAGTACTCTGCCCTCATAAAAGGAGCTGTATTATATTTTATACTATTCTGTTTTCTGGAAGAGATTGTTATAGAGGCTGGTATTCTTCTTGTAAGTTGTGTGCATTTCTCGAGTAGCACTGTCAGGTCTTCTATGAAGCTAATTTCTTGGATAGATGTAGAGCTATTCAGGTGATCTCTTTGACCTTGTGTGAATTGTGGTAGTTATTGGAATTGATCAATTTCCTTTAAGTTATCATATGATATTGTTCATAGCATTAACTTACAACCCTAGTGATGTCTGTAAACTCTAGAGTGATATCCCTAGTTTCATTCCTTATACTGGTAAATTGTATCTTTTTTTCTTTAACTTGTGCTAGATTGTAAGTTTTTATAGGTTTTATAAAAAATAAATTTTTATTTCATTGATTTTCTGTTATTTTTCACTCCTATCTTTATTTCCTTCTTTCTGTCCATCTCTACTCAGATAATATATGAAGCAAAATGTACTGTTGATGAGAATGGGGGACTTACACCCAAGAATAGTAGAGATGAATACCAGGAGGATTGCTCCACGGCTTGGAAGCCCGCCTCACAACCTATGGAAAAAGGCAACTCAGATAGAGAAGGGACCACCAAGTATGGGGAGTTTGGAGGGCCCACTTAGGATGGGAGATGCATGCTGAAAGTAGGCTACAGACTGAATAATGGCCATACAGTACCTCTATTGCAAATCACAATATCCTTAAGGAGAGAGAGAGCAAAAGTGAATGCCCTGCTACTGAGGCGGGGTGGGGTGGGGGATGGGGTCGGTGTGGTGGGAGGGATACCCGGACCATTGGTGGTGGAGAATGGGCACTGGTGAAGGGATGGGTACTCAATCATTGTATGACTAAAATGTAAGCACGAAATTTTATAAGTCTATAACTGTACCCCACGGTGATTCATTGAAATATGTATATATGTATATATATGAAAATAAAGAAATAAAAATGACCTGAAAAGTTTTAAAAAATGTTCTGTTGATAAAAAATACATGTTATCAGCCCATTGCAGTTTTCCAACTGCATATAAATAGCGATTAAGTAAATGTAGAAACTCACATTTACAGAGATGATACCAAAAGAAATTCCCTCTGAAATTAGGTACTGAGATGAACTGGTCTTTCTGGCTTGTGGTTTTTGGTGTTATTCAGTTGTCATGAATTATTTCTTTAAACCAAGTTCTGATTTTAAGTTAATTTATAATATCCTGCTAACCCCCCAGCCAAAACTCAGTATTGTCATTTTGTGTGTTTGTTTTTGTAATTATCTCTGTGACTTCAGTAAGATAAATACATACTTGTTCATACTCTAACTGCTGACAGAGGCTCCGATGAGCTTGCTGTTAAGTAGTTCTTCAGCAGAAGACAAGCTCAGGCTGGGATTGAGAGTTCCATCATCAATGACTAGGAGTTAGCTATCAGATTTTCCATGACTAATTTCAAGTCTGAGTATAAAATTAAAAAGCCAGGCCACTGTTTTACAGAAATCCACCTTAGCTTTATTAATTGGTATTTTGTGATTGATATTTTAAAAATAATATCAAAATGCTCAACTTGTTTTCTTTTAATGCACAAATGATATTGTATTATCCTTAGTTCTCCAGAGCAAACATTGCTATTCACAAAGGCCATAATTTTGGCAGCTTAAAAATAAAGAACTGTGGGATTATTTCAGCAGATGAGCTTCATATGCATCCTGAGCTCATTTTGGCAGCTTAGACCTCTTGGAAACCTCAGCTTCCAGTGACCTATGTATATATACACATATGAAATGGTGGTGATGGTACTGGGTAGAATTCCAAACACTGTGGTTATCCTTATGCCCCATAATGCAGTAATACAATGACCCAAGGACAAATAAGGGGACTAATCAGTATAATTCGGTTAGAATTTGTGATAAAGGTCTTTGAAAGATAAAGAGTAAAGGCAGGAGAAACTCGGAGCTTTTTATGCAACTGCATTTGTAACCAGATCTTTTGAAAGAATTTAAGGCCATTACTTTATTTTTATTTTTTTTATTTTTTAATTTTTATTAATGAAACACCATGTGGTACAGTTGTGGACTTACAAGTTTTTGTGCTTGGGTTTCAGTTATACAATGATCGAGTACCCATTCCTCCACCAATGCCCATTCTTCACCACCAATGATCCCAGTATCCCTCCTACCCCCCCCCATACCCCCCATTCCACCCCGCCTCTGTGGCAGGGCATTCCTTTTCGTTCTCTCTCTCTCCTTTTGGGTGCTGTGGTTTGCAAAAGAGGCATTGAGTGGCAATCACATTTGTTCTATAGTTTACTTTCAGCATGCATCTTCCATCCTGGAAGGATCCTCCCAACACCGTTTACATGGTGCTCCCTTTTGTATCTGAGCTGCCTTTTCCCCTAGCATGTGCAGCTGGCCACCAAGCCAGGTAGTGAACCTCCTGGTACTTTTTCTTGGCTGTTCTTGGGTGTTAGTCTCCTATTTTGTTACTTTATATTCCCCAGATGAATGCAATCTTTCTATGTCTGTTCCTCTCTTTCTAACTCATTTCACTTAGCATGATACTTTTCATGTAGTACCACTTGTATGTAAATGTCATGATTTCATCTTTTCTAACAGCTGTATAGTATTCCATTATACCAAACTTTCTGTAACCAGTCATCTGTTCTCGGGCACTCGGGTTTTTTTTCCCAGATTTTGGCTATTTTGAATAGTGCAGCAGTGACCATAGAAGTACAGATGTCATTTTGACTAAGGACAGTACTTTATAATAAAAGACTGTCCTATGCAATGGAGAGCTGAGACTCTGAGTTCTAAGATCCATAGCTTCGGTCTTACTCTACTATTTTCTTCCTTTGTAATGTGGGTCAACTTTTTTAATCATTTGACTTAGTTAGTTTTCACAAATGGGTGCAAATACTAGTGTGAAAGAAAATGTGGCAACACAGAGAGACTGGCATACATCAATAAGAATAAGAACAATCAGTGCTGGCACAGATATGGGGAGGGAAGGAATTCTCTTTCATTGTTTCAAGGACAGTAGACAAAAGGGCCAGAAATATTGCTTCATAGTTGGAAACCTGCCTCATGAGTTGGTGGAGAAGGCAGCTAGAGAAGGGATCACTAAGTCAATGATGGTTGGAGAAATTATTTGGAATGGGAGATGTGTGCTCAAAGTGGATAAAGGAACAAATGTGAAAGCCTCTCAGTATCTATATTGCAAACCATAATGCACAAAATTAGAGAGCGAGTATGGGGGAAATTGTCTGCCATAGAGCCAGGGGGATGGTTGGGAAGGGGGGTGGGTTACTGGGGACATTGGTGGTGGAAAATGTGCACTGGTAGAGGGATGGGTGTTCTATCACTATATGACTGATACTCAAACATGAAAGCTTTTTAACTGTAGCTCATGGTGATTCAATTAAAAATGTATTCATATACCAAAAAAAAATATGGTAACAAACAAATCTGGTAAAAAGTTCTCGTATGAAATGTGCTATTTGGCACACTTGGTATAGTTTAGCTATTGTGTAATGAGCCTATTCAAAGCATTTCTACTACTACCATTACTATTATCATGAGTGAATATTAAATTAGTAGAATCTAGCTTGCTTTTCTGTAATTTGTTATAACCTTGTCAATACAGTAATAATAGATAGAGTCCTATTCAGTACAAAGAACTAAAAATGACCATAAGGAGCATCACATTATCACTTGCACATTTCTGGGGATGTGAGAATTCAAGCAATGTTTACTACAGTGTTTCTCAGACTTTCTTTTATTGTTACCTCCTTAAGGAGTCTTTAAAATATTTTTCCTGAAATTTTATGTATTTCAGTGCTTTAGAGGAAAGGACACAAATCACTGTAATATATTTTTTTCAACCCACCCAAACAAATTATCAAACCTGTAGACGAAATATCACTCTTCCCTCATTGAGAACATGTGGTTTGGGCCAGAAACACAGCTGAATTGGACGAGCATATGCTTAGCATGTGTGAGTTTTTTGTTCACTCTCCAGCATCCATTGTTCCTCAAGAACCCCCAAGCATTGAGCTGGGAATGATCCCTGAGCACCTCCAGGTATGGCCTTAAAACCTAAAGAAAAAAAGTCTATGTGACTCAGTGGTGTAGTTCTCAACTGAAAACAATTTTGTACCCCCACAAGGGGCATTTGGCATTGTTTAGAAATACTTTTGGTTGCTTAACTGGGTGAACGGGAATAACTGGTATGTTGTTGTAGATACATGTGGTCCAAAAAATGTCAATAGTGCTGTCGTTGTGAAACTGTTCTCTTGATATGGTGATGAAGTTCATATATACTCTGAATAACATGGCAATTATTAAGGGAGGTGAAAATGAATCCACATCAACTGCAAGGCCACAAGGTAAAGAGAATAGCAGAACTTGGATTCTTGACCTTTGGACTGAATCTGTGGACAGTGTGGTTTACTTGTCAAAGACTAAAAGACCATCTTTGTTTTCTTAAGAACTGTTGCTGTTTTCAATAATATGGTGCTTTTTGCTTTTTCTGTCAAATACGTATACAAATGTTTGTGAACACTTCGAAGACTGTTCAGTGACGATTTTCTGTTTTCTGGTGTTTGATTTTTTTCTGCTTATTGTTTCTTTAACCTGAAGCAGCTGAATTCCTGAAAGCTGGTATAAATTTATTTTTCACCAAGTTGCATATATTCCTTGGATTTCATTACAGTACATTTTGAGGAGATTATTTTCACTCCTAATTGCTCCTCATTTGATCTGGACTCCTAGGTTGCTTTAAATTTAAATCTAACAGCCTGTCTACCTCTCTGGGTTTCAGAGAAAGATTAGCATTTCAGCGAAGGTATTAATTGATGGTAAAAGTACGACAGCTTAGTTTTTGATGGCCCTTGCTCAGGTTGTGTGCCCAGAACGCCTGGCACGCCTGCTGTCCCTGTCACACTTACATTCCCTTCTTCTGCTCAGAGTTGGCGTTGAGGAGCCCTCCGAAGAGGACCAGAGTGGACACCGATGGCAGTACTTCAGGTGACAGAAGGGCATTCTAGAAACAAATTAACCAGGCCTGGCTTTTCTCTTCCTAACTTGAAATGTTTTTCTTTATGTTTAAATTTTTTCCCCTCTCTGTGTGTGCCAACCTCCTGCCCCTTTAAACAAAATGGCAGGAGGTTAGTTCAATCTAATAACTTTTTCTCCTTTTCACTGAGTTGATTTTTGTGTCAGTGTTCCTAAGATTCTGTCTTCTTTGCTCAAATTTTGGAAAATGAATTTTCCACCAGAGTCAGAGCTGACAAGTGTCTCCTCCTTGTACAAAAGAGCTTAATGTTAAGAACAGCCCATTTCCCAAGCACCAACATGATATCCATAAAATCCAGATTACAATAATCTAGAAAACACAGTTTTAAAGGAAACTAGATTTTTATGTTTCAGCCATGACTGGGGTATGTCTTACATCATCTTCATCAGTCACTAATGTTGTTATTGTTTTTAAAGTATGTACACATGTATGTAGCATGTGTAGTATGTACAGTACGCAGTATGTTTGTAAGTATTTATAGTTACTAGTGTCTTATTGAGCTGGAGCGATAGCACAGCAGTAGGGTGTTTGCCTTGCATGCAGCCAACATGGCCGACCCAAGTTCGATTCCTCCGCCCCTCTCGGAGAGCCCGGCAAGCTACTGAGAGTATCTTGCCTGCATGGCAGAGCCTGGCAAGCTACCCGTGATGTATTCGATATGCCAAACACAGTAACAACAAAGTCTCCAATGGAGACATTACTGGGCCCACTCGAGCAAATCGATGAACAACGGGAGGACAGTGACAGTGACAGTGTCTTATTATGGTGAATCAGAAGATACAATAAAAACAGTTTTTGAAAAATCAAAGGATTACTAATGACTCCTCTAATATATTTTCTCAGTGCTAATCCAAGTTAGTGAATTGTTTATGCTTAACAGCCTTGATACCAGGCAATCAGAATAAACACTTATTTCTTTCTATATCTTTGTTAGCATGCTTTCCTGCTGATTCTGGGTGCTGATAGAAAAATCAGATGCAAAATGGACTTGAATTCTACCTTTTCATTTTGTTTCAAGTTATGATAAAGATTATAGCATTATAGGCTATAATCTCTCTATATATTTCACTTTGAAATCAATGGTGAAAGCAGTGATACCTTTCATAGGGCATGTATTTTGTGGCTGTTCCCAGACCCTGAATTGATACTAACATATATAGGCATATATTACTAATTTATAGGCATAGATTTATAATGCATATAGATATGCATTATTTAATGCATAAAATTAATTGAAGGACTTAAGCTTTCTAGACACAACCTTTTTGTCTATTTGAAAGGCCATCTGGAGAGATAGTATTGCCTTCCACATGGCAAATCCGGGTTAGATCCCAGGCATCCCATATGGTCCTCCAAGCCTGCCAGGAGTGATTCCTCTGTGCAAAGCCAAGATGAAGCTCTGATCACTGTTGGGTGTTATCTCCAAACCAAAAAATCAAATACCACATACATTTGTGATTGTTAGGAGACCTATCTTTAGGTGCCAAACAAGCTGCAAAGGAAGCAGTTTCCTTTGAAATAGCCTTTCAGAGGAAGGTCCTTTAGGCCAAACAGTTATTTGACATGGTACATGAGAGACTTCAGATTGTGATCTAGTGATTTGGGTTTTATATGATGGTACATATATAATACTCCTGAAATTATTCACTGTCATGTACATTTTTGAAAGACAATGTTCAAACTATAATTTCTAAAATTGTTTAGATTTCCTGGCATTTTATGTAGTGGTTAATCAGAATGTACGTAAGTGATTCATTCCCTAAAGGGAAATGATTCATTTTCTGTATTTTTTTCAGCCCAATGTGAACACATCTGTTTGACTGTTTGACTGATATTTTATTTCTAGCACATTTCCCCACCATCACCCTTTTGTGTCTATTAACACAGTGAAACTTTTTTTCAAAAGTATGCAGGATAGTGGTCTCACAGAATATCCTATAATCTAGATTTTTGTGATATATTTTTATCGTAACTTGAAAAAGATCATCATTTTTATTCAAAATATTTTCAAAGTGATTTTTTGCATTTCTTTTTGGATCATATCAAGAGGTGTATTTTCAGGTTGTATCTTCTTAGTGATGTCACATTTAATTACTTTAGATTCCATGTCTCTACTGTAAAGGTACAGATTTTCCCTTTCCAGATGTTCCCAGATTTATTTGGTCTACCCCCAATAAGTTTGTTCTACCCCCAAGTAAATTTGGATTTTACCAAATAAAATCTAAAAAAACTCACTGAGTCCCCTGAAAACTACCTTCTTTGAGGGAACAAACAGAGAGTATTCCCTAATTGCACCACTACTATGAGTCTTCTCAACTGTTCCAGAACCCCCGAGGCAGGTGTTCGCATTGTGGGAAGCATTGCTGCAGAGAGATTCCATCACATCATGAGTATCCTGATTCTCAGCGCCCTATCACCTACCAGTAAAATCATGCAATGATGAGCCTTGTTTGAAACAATTATTATGCTAAGAGTGGGAAGTAGTTTTTTAATTCTGTGATTTGTCCTGTGTTTAAAGGGTGTTCTTTATTTGTAAAGAAGGGTTTTATTGTGGTTTTAAAACTTATTTTATGTATGGACAAAGCAAGCCTCTCTCTACTATGTAAGTAATAAGCTTAAGATACTCTGTACTGGGGTTGGAGTGATAGCACAGCGGGTAGGGCATTTGCCTTGCATGCGGTCGACCCGGGTTTGATTCCCAGCATCCCATATGGTCCCCTGGGCACCGCCAGGGGTAATTCCTGAGTGCATGAATCAGGAGTAACCCCTGTGCATTGATGGGTGTGACCCAAAAAGCAAAAAAAAAAAACAGATACTCTGTACTTATGAGCTAGAGTGGTTAGAGCATTTGCCTTGCACAGTGCTGACCTGTGTTTGATCCTCAGAATCCCAAATGATCCCCTAAGCACTGCCAGGAGTAATTCCTGATTGCAGACCCAGAATTAACCCTTGAGCATCACCAGGTATGGCCCACCCCCCCCATAAAAATAAAAGTTATACTCATTATTTATGGGACTTGGAGTTGTATCTTTACAAAATCATGGAGAAAATCATGGATAGAATCATGGAGAAAGCAAACATTGTCCCTCCTTTGGTGATGAAAAAAAAGTGATGCTTATTTTGATGAGAGACATGTGGCTAGAATTAGTGCAGCATAGCATCCTCACTGTCCAATTGGGTAGCCTCTAGCCAAATGTAGGTATTGCAATAATTAAAAGCAAATAAATAAATAATTAAATAAATTTCAGTTCCTGAATTGTACATGTCACATTTCAAGTACTCAGTGACCACACTAGTTGGTAGCTAACAACATAGGCAAGTACAGATCCAGAACACGTCCATCAGTACAGAAAGTTCTTCTGGCATTGCAGAGGTAGAACTATTCTTGTTTCACATGCACACACGTATACAAGCACACACATGTGCACACAAAACATCAAGCATCATGAATTTGGAATGAGGTTAGGGTGGCCTTAATTTTCTGAATGCATCAGGTTATTCCAATGTTTTGTGCTTTTGTAGTTTTGCATTCTGGACTCTTCCTGGCCCTAGGTGAAAAAACTCTGGCTCCATAGTTCTGCAAAGAGTTCAGTGACTTGAGTGGAAATAGTAAAAGTCCAGTCTTTTTAAAGCAAGTCTTATTATAAGAATTTATTTGAATTCTTGTTAAACAAATTTTTTCCTCAGCAGAGATCCATTTTAAGAGTAGCAGGGTATATGGGGTGGAGTGATAACACAGAGTGTGGAGGGTGTCATTTGCCTCGCATGCAGCCAACCCAGACTTGATCCCCAGAACCCCATATGGTCCCAGGAGCCCACCAGGAGTAATCCCTGAATGCAGACCTGAGCACTTCTGGGTGTGACCCAAAAACAGAAACAGGAAAAAATCAGTAGCTGGTTCTAAATTTCTTTTATTTATTTGTCATGAAGTGGTTGCATGAAGTCGAGTGCATTCAGACTGCTCTTGAATCCCCAGAAGGATTCCATCTGATTTCTAGCACTAGAATTCAGCATGTCTTCATATTTTGATTCCTAATCTTATAAACACTGACAAAAACCACTTCCCTATATATATAATATACATGAGAGATTACCCTTCCATATATATATATGTATATATATATATAATGTACATGAGGGATTCTAAAAGATGATAATTGCAGGTTCAAGGTCAACAGCTCAGAATTCTCTACCTCTCCTCTACCACTTTAGTTAGCTACTTTGGGTGTTCAAGGCTGTGAAGTGACAATTGTGAGTAGCCCTGGGATCTTCTTGAATTGGATGGGTCTCATGTCATAAAATCTCTTTGTTGTCCAGAGATCTGTGACTGACGTCCAACTGTGAGAACCAACCTTCATCCACCTCAGAGACTCCTGCAGGGAAGCAGTCTCCAAACTCAGTAGTTTGCCTGATTTACTGCACAGGTCCCATCAAACTTCAGGCCCATGAGGAAGAAATTTGGCACTAGGTGTATTATATTTTTTACCTAAGTGCTTAGAACTGTGAATAGCAGAAAAGGCCTTCCATAACATACTTGTGAGATACGTGAATTTATCTTGTGAATTTAAATTATTTTTTTCTTCATCAAAATTTGGGGTAACTATTGCCTTTCTTTCATAACCCCCTTTTCCAGAGGGGCACAAACCATGATTAGTGTTCAATAAACAGAATTTGATGTTGAGATTGGCTTATCTTCTGTCATATGTGTTATCTTCTAGTCTTCTTTTCCATTATTTTCTTTTCCTGAGAAACATCTCAAGCATAAGAGGTGGCCAAGAGGGAGGAAAGAAGGAAAAGTAAGGCTCAAGCAGGGCTCTCTACAGTCACTGTGTGCATATTGAAATCAGTGCCCTTATACTGGACTGCAAATAACACCTTAGTTGAGGCCATTAGAAGCCTTTCTTCAAGCTCAAATCAGACCTGCTGAAAAGCTGTGTTTTTAGTTTTACCTTTTTGGTGGAAGAGGTAGGAGTTGTGCCACACTTAGAAGTGCTCAGAAATTACTCCTTGTTCTGTACTCAGTGATTAAACTCCAGTGGGCCCTGGGGTGCTGGGGATTGAATCTGGGTAAGCTGCATACAAGACAAGTGCCCTACCCACAGTTCTATCTTTCTAGCCCCTTCAGTTTCACCTTTTATGGTATCATCCATTCTTGGCAACACAGGATGATGAAGGAAAATAGAGAATTTTAAAGGCATTTTTGTTTTCTCCTGTGTTGCCTCATGATACCCATGTCATCAAGTGTCACAATTTTATGCCTTGGAATGAGGAAGGTGTCAAGATTAAAAAATATTATCTGGTACATAGAGAAACAGTCTGTCTATTACTAAGTCAAAATGACTACCTAGTACTTTTATGGAATATTTTGTAAGTGGATGTGCCATTTTACTTTCTCTTCTGCCTTCAGTTGATGACCTCAAATGTGCCAGTTTTCAGATTGTCTGTATGTGTGTACACTAGAATGAAAATTACTGAGATGCATGCTAAAACTTTTAGAGAAAGTCTACTAAAGTCTTGTAACTTTATTTGAATTTATTTAAAAATAAAGTAGATGATAAATGTATAGACAAATAAAAAGAAAATAGAGCAGGAGCTAGATAGACAGTACAGTGGGTAGGGTGTTTGCCTTGCACACAGCCAACCCGGGTTCATCCCCAGTGGTCCCCCAAGCACCTACAAGAGTGATCCCTGAGCACAGAGTCAGGAGTAAGCCCTGAACACAGCTGGATGTTGCCCCCAAACAAACAAAATATATCAAAATGATAATGTAGAATCGTGGCTATGGGTACACAGTCTTTCAAACTATAAATTCTTTCAAGATTTCCTTCCTTGTACATATAAAAAATTTAATTAGGAGCTAGAAAGATAGAGTACAGCAGGTAGGGTACTTGCCCTGCATACAGCTAACCTAGGTTCCATTTATGGCTCCCCATATGGTTCCCCAGATCTACCAGAAGTGATTCCTGAGCACAGAACCAGGAATAAGTCCTGAGCAACACTGGGTGTGGCCTAAAAGCAAAACAAAAAATTTTAAACAGAAGTTTAGGAAAGTAAAACCAGGTAAAGACAAATGTACAGCAGCAGCAGAGAGGGCATATGGCACAGGAAGGCAGATGGATAGTTGCCAGCTGATGTGGTCCCTCCCAAGAGACCCTGTTTAGGGTGTAATCATATAGGATTGATTGATTCTCCTAACCCTGGTATCAGATGTGGAATATAACTTATTTCTCACAACTTATGCATGACATCCTTTCTCTTCTTTTAGCTAACCACTCCTTCTGCTTCTGGAAGATGATCTCTGGCTACCTTTAGCACCATGGCTACCATATTCCAAGCTAATTATCTCCATTTTTCTCCTTTTGCTTTGATGATGTACAGAGTTGGTGTTGACCCCGATCAAGACCCACCACCTAACAATGACAGCTTTCAAGTCTTACAAGGGGTAAGTCATAAAAGATGCTTCTTGCCATTATTAAAGAAATTATTAAAAGTAACTGAAATGTATTGAGCATTTACTATGCACAAAGGCAGTTTACATAGATTCCTTTGTTTTGATCGTGACAACCTTGTACGGAAGGTACTGAAATCCCCATTTCACGGATTAAAAGCTGAAGCTTGAGAGTTTGAATCATCCAAGAGCTTGGACCATCAAAGAACCAGAGTGATGGAGGGATAGTTGAACCCAGAGTCTGTGTACCTAAATAACATGGTAGGAGAGTGAATTATCCAGAAAGAGTATTTTTAAAAGGCTGGAGCGATAGCACAGCGGTAGGGCATTTGCCTTGCACACAGCCAACATGGCTGACCCAAGTTCGATTCCTCTGCCCCTCTCGGAGAGCCCGGCAAACTACCGAGAGTATCTCGCCCGCATGGCAGAGCCTGGTAAGCTACTCGTGACGTATTCGATATGCCAAACACAGTAACAACAAAGTCTCCAATGGAGACTGGGCCCTCTCGAGCAAATCGATGAACAACGGAGTACAGTGACAGTGACAATGGATATATTGGATACATTGATAATTGTCTTGCTGTAATTCATTCTGAATCCTTCCATGGATGCAATCCATCTTGGTGATTCCGAGGATGAAAGGAAAGAACATTGGATGATTACAGAATCTCAATTTCTCCTGAATCTGGGATCCTCTACACCTGTTGGGCCTTGCCCCCCTCCACCATTCTAGTAACTGGGAGTCCTCACCCATGTAGGTACTGAACATCAGGGCAAGGCAACCACCTAAGGTGTGGGCAGGTTGATGGCAGTGGTAACAGCTTGGGAAGGGAAGCTATAGAGCCAGTGAAGAGAAAAACCCTAAGGTCACATTTAATATGGGGACAGGAAAGAGCTCCCAGAGCAGAGAGAATCCTGGTGGAGAGCAAGTGGTTGTTCTGAAGTTGTTATTGCATGTCAAATTAACCCCAAATATAGAAAAGAAAACATTAATTTCTGAGGGCCAGAGTGTTGGGCATTTTCCTTGCCTTAGGCAACCATGTTTGATTCCCTGCACCCCAAACAGCCCTCCACGCCAGGCAGGAATGATTCCTGAGCACAGGGCCAAAAATAAGCCCTGAATACTGCTGGGTGAGGCCCCCAAACCAAAAGAAAAACCCAGAAATTTCATTTTTTAAAGTATTTTAGTTAGCAGTAGTTTACAGGAATGTAAATTTTTATATGTTACAAGCTAAAGTGTTACCACACCACACCTACCGCCAAAGAGCGACAATTTCAATTGTTCATGGATTCTCTTGATATGTTCGAATTTTCTTAGAAAGGGAATTATAGGATTGACTTATTTTGCTCCAAGAACACTGAGGGTAAATCAGCCTGGGAGTTGGAATTCTCCCAAGTCTCATTGGCATGCAGGCCTGGCACCTGGGCTGAGAGGATGCAAGGGTATACAAATCAGGCAGGGGCTGGAATTATCCCAAGTCTCATTGGCATGCAGGCCTAGCACCTGGACACAAAGATAGGATTGCTGACTAGAATACCTATGCATGGGTAGATATTATTGCACTTCTTACATGATAGCTTAGCATCCAAAACCCAGTGCCCCAGCAAGTAGTATAGAAGCTTCATTGCTTTTTCAAATGTAGTCTTAAAAATTTCACAACATCTCTTACTGCTTAGGATGAGGTGCTAATGCCAGGTCAGATTCAATGAGTAGGGATCTCATAACTATTGGACATAAAGAGTGTTAAAAAAATAGACAGATATTTTAGCTGTTGTATAATTCCTATTTAGTGGCCAGTGGATGAATTTGTCTCTAGATTTTGCTCATTTACCAGGCTGGCATTAGGAAAAAAGGAGAACTATACTAGGAGCCAATATTTTTCTTGCCCAAATGTTATTTGATCTTCAGAATCACAAACTGCTCCATTCATCATTAAGCAATGAGTGCTGGCAAAATCCATAGGGATTTGATGAGTAGAAGAGGAGCAATTTGAGAGGTACTGGTGGAAGCTTTTTTTGTGTTGCCCCTGAAATCATGTCATGTTTCTTTTTCTTCAAGTTGGTTTTAATTATGCTCACCATTGCATCTGATCCTATATCTAGTGTACATAAGTCAGATTCCATAAGATCTAAATCTGCCAAATTGTATTAAAAAAGTCTTTTTTTCATAATTTTATTTACTTATTTATTTTTCTTCTTATATTTATTTATTGAATAACTGTGGGAAAAGTTACTAAGCTTTAAGGTTTGAGTCTCGGTCATGCAATGATCAAACACCTTTCCCTTCACCAGTACTCATTTTTCACCACCAAGAACCCCAATATACCCCCCTCCCACCCTTCCCAATGCCTGTGAGGCAGATGATTTCCACTTAACTCTTCACTACATTAATTACATTCATTATTTCGACAAAAGATGCACTATTATTGTTTAGAATTCCCCCCCCCCAACAATCAGAATTGCTGAAAAGGCATTGTGAAATACTTTGTTCTCAATAGCTGGTTATGAGAATCATATAATCTTGCAATCGCAGCCTTGCGATTTTGGATTTCTGCAAAGAGCCAGATAATTACGAGATTGGTTTCTGTGTGTCTGGTGTTATGGCTGTGCCAGAGAGCTGCTTGTGGGGGGCAACTCATGACCTCGGTAGGGCGGGAAGGACGAGCCGGTAGTGCCCCCCTTCCTATTGGACTGCAATTGCCCCGTCAACACTGGCTCATACCTGGCTTTTCAATAAGCTCTGAGGCGGTGGCCACTTTGCTGCCGGGGGGTGGGGGGGGGGGGGGAAGGAAGCAACACCCTTTCCCTCCCGGGGAAGCATGGAGCCGTAGTTTAATGCATGGTCCATTCGCTTTTCTGCCGCAAACTGCCAGGCTCTGGATTAAATCCTTTTGTCTCTGGAGCCATGGCCATGCCAGAGAGTTGCTCATGGGGGGGCAACTCATGACCTCAGTAGGGCGTGAAGGACGTGCCGGTACCACCCCCTCTTCCCATGAGACTGCAGTTGCCCCATCAATGCCAGCTCATACCTGGCTTTTCAATAAGCTCTGAGGTGGCGGCCACCTTGCTGCCGGGCAGGGAAAAGGTGGAAGGGAGCAACACCCTTTCCCTCCTGGGGAGGCATGGTGTTTTAGTTTAATGCATGGTCCATTCACTTTTCTGCCGTAAGCTGCCGGGCTCTGGATTAAGTCCTTTTGCCTCTGGAGACATGGCTGTGCCAGAGAGCCACTCGTGGGGGGCAACTCGTGACCTCAGTAGGGCGAGAAGTACGAGCCAGTACCGCCCCCCTTCCCATGAGACTGTAGTTGCCCCATCAACACCCGCTCATACCTGGCGTTCCAAGAAACTCTGAGGCAGTGGCCACCTTATATGCAGTCCAGATGCATTTCTGCCAAAAACCGCTGGGTTTCGAGATTTGTTTCTGAGTCTCTGGGATCATGGCCATTAATTAGCTTGATCAGGAGGCAGAGAGGTCGTTTGTAGGCAGCCACTCGGGGTCTCACTGAAATGGGGAGGAAAGGACTGGTTCCGCCCCCATCTGGTGAGGCCCCGCATGTCTCGTCACTGCAGGCCCAAACCTGACTGTCCAGTAGCCTCTGGAGGATGGTGGTCACCGGGCCGCCAAGGGGAACAGGCCAAGGCATGAAACCTATTCCCACCTGGATTGGCCCAGAGCCAGTAACTTACTGCAGGAACAGGACGCATTTCTGCTAAAAGCCTTTGGGTTCCAAGATTCGTTTCTGAGTCTCTGGGATCATAGCCGTTAAGCAGTTCGATCAGGAACCAGAGAGGCCATGCCTCCAATTATATAGCTGAGCCGGAGGTGGTTTGTGGGTGTGTCTCCCACATACCTAACCTTTGGCCGTTTACTTTCTTTGTAAACTTTGCCCCAAATTTCTGGGGTCTGACCAAAGGCACAGCAGCAATTTTGGGGTATCTGAAAGCCTTAACAGTGCCATGAGGCTGCTGATGCACTCGCCTCACAGGTACAAATTGACCTGCTGGCGGCATCATACCCCCTAAACAAGTCTTATACAAGATGGTGCTATGTAGGGCTTGGGGGTGGTAGAGCCACAATAGCTTTTTTGATTTCTTTCTCTTCAAGGTAGGTTACAACCTAATAAAGCATTCATGGTGTTGGTGAGATGCAAAGATGTGACCTCTAAAAGTTATGTGTAGGATAACATTGGTTTTCCCTTCCTCCCTGGCCACAGGGAGCTTGGGTTTGTTGATTGCTCCCCCAACCTGTCAATTGCCTTTGTCTCCTGTTCAGACTCTTCTGACTTACAAATATTTTTTTTCTCTTCACCTTAATGTCCTTTACATGGTTAGTTATTTCAGAGCAATTACTTTTTGTATGGATACAGGAAGACAGTTAAAAAGATAAGCCTGTAACTTGGGAGTTAAATGACTCCAGATAGTATTACCTCCTGGACATCTACTCTCTCAACTTAAACCTCAGTTGCCCTTACTTCCTAGATCCCCGAAAGCAGGGTTCCAACAAGGGACTGGATGAACCCAGGGCAAACTGTTAGCTGCCCTGGCATCGAAATGGGCCTGGCCAAAGTGCCCTAATGCTTAATAAGTTAACAGTATGGTCATGGACAAATTCTGTCATGATCCAAAAAGTAATAACTAGATTCGGACCCTGCTAGGATTAGGAATGATTAATCAGGCCTGAGCACCGTAGTCTGAGTCAGTGCTGAGATGTCCCCAGAATTGCCCTACAAGCCTAAATGTGTCTATTACTGTGTCCATACAGAATGGCAAATATTAGTAAGTAGAAATAAGATGTTAATTTTGTTACTGATCTAAGGAGAGGAGAAACACATGGTAAATACTATTTTGCCCTGTGGGCTGCAGGTGGTCAGGAAGGCTTGAAAAACATGTTGATTGTGCTTGGGGGTGGGGAGGTGTGGTTTGGAAGACATGGTTAGAGAAGAGGTGGTAAAAATGGTGGCTGCAGAGAGTTAAAAAAAAGAGGTAGAGAATTA